TTTTTTTTTTTTGCTGTGGTTTTAACACTCTTGTTAGCTTATGTACATCTTATGGTAATTTTGGAGTCTAAGGAAAATTACTGAAAGGCGACCTCTTCAAAAAAAGGCACTTAATGGATCTTAAATTTCATAAAAATTGTATTTGTAATATTTGTACTAGTACTCTGTCTTTGTGTTCACTCAGACTTCTTAGTTTTGTTTCATAATGTAGATGTTAATTTCAGTTCAAATAAGGGTAAACAGATCCAGAGGATCATCCTTGGGTGTGTCCTACCCATTGCCAGATTTTGGGATTGTAAATGGTTTTGCTTTTCTTTTTAATGCAGTGAAACTTCCAGAAATCCTTGGAAAGATGTCCTTTTCTGATAAGAATCTGAAGGCTTTACTGAAGCACTTTGATCTCTTTCTGAGGTATTTTTATTCGTCAAAACTTACTCTACTACCTTGTATATGACTTCTCTGAATTTCTCTTTAGCAAATGTGGAAGCTAGCTCTGATATTTTAAGTAGTAGCAGTATTACCTAAGTATGGTGGTTCTAACTGCAATTGTAATATGGGGGGTTGGCTATTTTTTCCATAATTTATCTGCTTTCTGAATCAAGGGTATTCATTGTATGGAGGTAAATTTTGTGTCATTAAAAGAATCCAGTTGGATAAACTTGTGAAAAGAAAATTGGTTTCTACAATAGAAGTGATTAAGATTGATAATTTAATTTTGTATTTTTTATTCAGGAGTACCTTAAGTATTAGACTCTTCTTTGCTGCAAGTACATTAACTTAAATATTAGCATTTGCAGGCCGGATTTGGCGTTTACCTTTAAAGTTAGGATAAATGACTGTTGCTGATGGCCTGTGAATTTAGAGAAAGCCATTAATTCCCTTCACCGGATGGATAGAGCCAGTCGTTTTAGCCGCCATAGGGGNTCGCACCGTTCATCCTCTCACCCTTCTGCTTAGGGGCCTTTGCCTTGCAGCCCGGCCCCAGCCTGCAGGAGCTGATCGGGTTCCACAGAGTGGAGTTTTTAAAAGAGAGCTTCCCGCAGGCATTCTGAGTGAAGTAGCCGAGTGAAGAGACTTTGTAACATTTTGTTAGAAACAAGTTTCAAAATTACTCTCTTCCCTTCTAGCCTCCCCGCAACAAACCCACAGTTCTGCTTGTCATTAAAGTGTCGTAAGCTGAGCCCTGAGCCCTGGCCGGCGGCCCACGGCGCAGCGTCCTGCGCACCAAAAGGCTGCGGGTTCGGCTTCCGGTCAGGGCCCGCACCTAGGCTGCGGGTTCCATTCCCAGTTGGGGTGTGTGCGGGAGGCAGCCCACTGAGGCTCCTCTCTCACATCAATGATTCGCACTCTCCTTTTCTCCC